CATCTCGATTCTAAAATTTCTAGTGACAAGGGTCTCGCCGTACATCTATCATAAAGGTGTTTATTTGATATTCTATGGGGATATTTCAGTCCAATAATCTTTCGGAGTTGCTTACGATGGAAAGTGTTTGCTTTAGTTCATCGTCTTTCGTTAAGGCCAATGTATAGCTATTGTATAAAAGCACCGGTTTCACTAGTGAGTTGTACAACCTCAGTCTTGTTTTTAATCTAATTTTTCCTTTTCTGTTCCAGAGTGCCTTTTTGTTCATTGCGTTCACAGCAAGTTGTTTCCTTCTGGTGATATCTTCTTTGTCTCCAAGAAGGCACCCTAACTTTTTTGTTAGTCTCCAGTTCTCTTTGACCGGTTCTTTTCTTTTAATTACTGTGTATTCTGTTATATCTTTGTTCACTTTGAGATTAAACAAAATTAGGTGAACTCCAATAAGGTCTACATTTGCCTTCTCGTTTAGGCTGATGAAATCGACACCATCCGCATACGAGATCTCATTTGGAATATGATCATTACTTCTCCCCCTAATTCCTCTTAACGCGTGTTCAAGGTACACTGTGAAGAGCACTGGGCTAAGACTGTCCCCTTGTGGTACTCCAGTATTCGTATTAAAATATACGTTGTCTAAAGTCCTTCGTAAATTTAGGTTGAGCCATGTTTGGCTTAGAAAAAATCTTATTATCCGAAGTTCGTCTTCATTAATAATCCCATTTAGATGGGCGATGATCGGACCATTTATGTTGAAGAATTTACTTTTAAAATATTTACCAATGGCCCTAGCAGTTTCCTGATTGTTTCCAATAAATTTTCTGCTGTCATCTACGACTTTTGGAATTTCATACTTTTTTCTATAAAGTTCTTTTACCGCTCTAAACATTCTGGTGCCGTTAACGGCTTGGTCAATGTCATAACTTTTATCGTCAAGTTCATAGTTTCTATTTTCACTTATTCGGTGTTCCTTTTTAGTGCATATCTGTATTGCTAGTAAACACGACTAGATGAATGCAAGTCTACGTGTAATAGAAGCAATTGATTTTTTAGGAAATAAGTAAGTAAATAATGTTAAGTTAAAAAACAGTTAATTTAAGTTCCTCCTCATAAAGTTACATTACGTCGGATATGGCAAGACTAGACGTTTAAATATAATCTTATGTTATATCGATGACACTAAGAAACATGCAAAAAACTATATTAGGTTGATTAACCTCGAAAATCAAAAATGTTATTCATTTGTATTTTTAGACAAAAAAAAAAAATTGAGAGAAAAAGAGAGTGAATATGAGTAAATGATGGAAATTGACACGTATTCATCTTGCACCACTTGTATTATATGCTATGATTTTTTATGTTTAACGATTTAATTTTTTTTAAATGAATTGTTATATTGCTTTATGCCTACTACACACATTGTAGTACATTTTACCTTTATGTTTAAATGATGTTAAAAAAAAAAAAAAAAAAAAAATTAATTGAAAGGGATGTAATGTAGTATTAAGGTTCAATGGTATTAACTTGCATACCCATTGGAATTGATACCCTTCACCTGATAAATGCCTTAAATTGGTTTGACAGTTTTAATTGTCAACTTGAGTATACAGATAATCTAATAATATAACTAGACATTGTATAACTTTACCCTCGTCAGTTGGACTTGGCCTTTCTCACTCTATGAATCTATGATCGCCAGTTTTGAGTCTAAGCTCTGAAGTTTGTGATACATCTTAATTACCAGTTTTTTGGTAAACAATTTACTAAATCATAGAGAAAGAATTTCTCTATGATCCAATCAGAAACTCTAAAAGTATGGGGTGACTTACTTGAGACACACCCCCATTACCTAAAGTATAATAGGCAAACACCCCCATATCACTGAGTCAGTAGTCAGTAGTTCAGTTAGATTCAATTTAGTAGTTAGGAGTACACATAAGAAAAGTACAGAGCTGAGCTGACTCCACTCAAAAAGGGTTCTCTAACATCTGAAACCTGCAGTTTAGCTGATTGTAACCAACGTACAGTTTGTGTGAATAAAAGTTTACAGTGTACTAAAAGGAACTGTGTTATACTACTCATTGAAAGTCACCACCAACAACTAAAAGATATTTAACATTTCATGTAGTACCTTGTTTCTTTCTTTACAAATTCTATATTTAAAAAAATATGAATTAATAATATATAACAATTAGTGTGAATACAAATAGATTCAATATTTACCAATTTCATATAAAGAAATATAATTTTAATAAATTAAGGCAGGTGTGCCGCAATATACAGCTATATTATCAAACGATCTTTATGATGCATTTTGTTTTATACATACTGTACTGTAAAAGCTAGTCCACACCTCTAAAAGTATGATGATCCTCACATCAGAGGGGCCTGTATTTCACGGAAGATAGATAGATAGATAGTATCACGGTTGTTCATTATATTTAGATTGCATTAGAGTATCACTACACTGAAGATGTCAGGTTTGTATGCTTCGATGAGAATTTTATTATGAAATCTACATGGCCTTGAGCCATAGAACTGATGAGGATTTTTTAAGGAAAAAAAATATATATGTATCTATGTTTTGAAATACTACTTCTATGATGATTGCCCATTGAAGGATACAATGAATACAGTAAGACTCAAGGTTTGTGTTTTGCATATATAT